CTATTACGTAACGAACATTACGTAACTTTTGTTACATAAAAAGTTGCGCAATACTTGGGTGCATCTGATTATGCAATAAAATCATAAAAAGTTTATTACTTTTCGAGTTATTACAAAAATCTAGTTTTTGTGCAAATTCAATTCACTTTTTTTCCAATTTCTACAGCTCATAGCAGGCGACTCGGCGGCAGTACAAAGATGTCAGTAGGCTCGTTGGAAAGGTGAGACATTCTGCTTTCATACGAGTGATCGATGATGTAATTATCTTGAGGGGTTGTCGAGATATACAAAAAAAGGTAGAACAGTAGAACTCTCGTTCAATCTCTTTATTTAAAATAAAATATTTGTTTATACATTGTTAATATATCCCGCCCATGAAAGCAGACAGACAGGCAGAAGAGACATATGTAAATGGGAACAAGAAACACATATATTTTGTACACACCTTCATCAAACTATTTTTATCTATCACAAAAAAAAAAAGAAACAATTCTCTTGCATCTGCAACCGGAACGGAGCAACAATATCATTCAAGTCGAATATATCAATAATCATCGACTAAAACCGTCCACAGAAAATCCTTCCCCACATAGTTATACACTTATTGAACGGAAGAGGTAAATAAATAATAGAGAAAAACTTTGCGTTGTGGGGAGGCTAGTTGTTGGCAAAGCGAAAAGAAATAGAGAAAAATAAATAAAGGAAAAAAAAAACTAAACAAACATGTAGAAAATAACTTAATATATATAATAATGATATTAGTAATATTAACGGCAATACAATGTGTGATGTATCGAGGCGATAATTAGTTGTTTTTTTTTTGTTTCATACATTTTTAGTCTGAATCCTCCGCCTGATCATGTTTCTTACTTCACTCTACTATTACTATTGATGCTACCAGACATCACTGTATCACAAACAATAATTGGCAAAAAGTATTTGCTAAAATTTGTATTATTCCCAAGAGAAGAGAAGGAAATGAATGAAAAGAGGAGAGATAAAGAATGAGGAATTGGCATGGAGAAAAGGTAGGTGGTGTCGCTTCGCGATTCAAATATTTATAATATAATAATAATAATAGTAATAGCAGCAGCAGCAGTTCTTGTTGTAAATGTAATAACGATAATAATATTATGTATAGAAGAAATGAAGATTTTGTTTTGCAAACAAATGTATCGTCTTCTGCAGACATCACACGGTAACAATAACTAGGAGGGCTACCTGTTGCTATCCTCCATGACCACCTGCTTGAAAACTCCTGCGGACATTTGAGACTTGACCTCGTGGCTACCCAGGGCGGCGGTGCCGTCCTTCGCGATGAACAGCTGCAAACCGGATGCTGAAAATATAACAAAATCAGAGGAGGAACGTGCGTGCGTGAGTGAGTGAGTGTTATCATTACATTCAGCCGAATCGTCGTCAGCCGCCTGCTCCAGGTTGGTGTTCTTGATCAGCTCATCGATCAGATGGTCGGTGTTGACTCTGGTGCCTTCGACGCGTCCCGGCGCCGTCGTCTCCTGCTCTTGAGGTTGGGTTTTCTTCCGCCTCTCCAGAGCCGCCTTCGCCCTGTCCAGCGACCCCGTCTCTGACAGCACCAGACTACCCGAACTAGGATTCCTGCAAAAACGAAACCAAACGATTCATTTAAATAGATTGCGACCACATAACGCAGAGCAAATAATGCGAGATGGATGGATGGTGGAGGAAGATGTTCGTGGTCCGGTGGATAGCTTTAGTCTTGTTGTTGAGTTATTCTTTTGGATCAAAGTAGAAAGCAAAAAAACAAGGTAATTAAATGAAAACAAAACCAAATCGGGGATGTGAAGAACCATGCCAAAACCAAAGCAAACAAAAGTAATAATAAACGAAATTAAATGTTATGCGAATATCAAGTTGTGTGCGTGTAAATGATGTGCAAGTACGTGTTTGGTGACGGAGAATGAATGAGTAGAGAAGGGAGAAAAAAAAAATGCTGATCACTAACTGTGCGACGCTCGGACGCCGGATAATAATTGGGGTTTGCGAACAACAGCAATCGGACGAAACGTTGTCGTTGTCATTGTTGTTGCAGTTGACATTGGTTGTGGTGATATTGATGAAGGAGGTGGTGTTGGTGATTGTACTGATCGTGTTGGCGATGGTGGTTGCGATGATGATGGCGGCGGCAGTCGAGTTGCTGGTAGTGATGGTCGGCATGGCGACGGCTTGCGGAGTCTCGTCGGGAGTGGTCGCCGCCGTCATGGGAGCCAGCTTACCGCCGCAGCCTCCTGACTCCAGCAGCAGCAGCAGCTTGCGATGAGGCAAGCCCCTGCAATGCACATTACACAATCGTCGGTCGTTGCATTCATTCATTCGTACACCCTCCTTTCAATCCATCAATATCATCATTTCGTAATCATCAGGTGAAAAACAAACATCAACATTTACATAAACGAGAAATACTGTGGCCAGCAAAAGCAAAATTGTATATTTACCGATGGTGTCCATTGTGAGACGATTGAGAATTTGCAATAGTAATAACTTCGCTACTAGTTTATTGTTTATGTTCGAGCTGCGGATGTATTGAAGATGCGAATGTTGAACAAAGTATACATTTGAGTACTCTACGAGGTGGTTGTGGTGTAGATGTGAAAATGATGCGGTTGCAAGTGCAGAAGAGATAGTCAAGCAAGCAAGCAAAGCGAAGAAAACTTTCCGGTTCGGTGCGAGAAGTGAGACGTACCTTGCGATCGGTTGGACGCCTAAGAGGAGCATATCGGATCCCTGCGTCGTTGATTTGAGGGAGTTCAGGGAGGAGGAGGACGAGGAGGCGGCGGTCGTGGTGCGCGCGTTCGACGACGAGTGCGATTTCGGGATGGGAGAGAGCTTCAGAGTGGAAACGGAGGAGGACGAGGAAATAACGGACGCCGCCGGTAGATTCGACGGAGTGGAGTGATGCTCGTCTGCGTCGTGGTGGAGTCGGTTGTTGTGTTGTCGATGGCGGCGGCGGCGAGTCAACGGCGTCAGATAAGCGAGTATGTTATCCGACCTCTGCGCGAAATTCTGCAGGAAACCCTCGTGCTGTCGTCCGAACTGCATTTGAACGTGCCTGGGTATCTCGAAGTCGCTCTTCGACCTCAAGACCTCGCAGAAATCTCTGGAAAAGTCACCGGCGCTGCTTCCACCACCACCACCACCACCAACGAATCCGCCATCCAAACTGTTTCGTTCCATGTGGAGGAGTGGCGTCGCGAAAGGGGTGGAGCCGGTGCTCGGCGTATAGTAGGTCGTCGTACCGTTCGGATGGTGACCGTCGGTGGTGGTGGCTGCTGCGGCGACAGCGGCTTCCTCGAACGACGGACTCGGCATGGTATTCCCGGTGCCGATGGGCGTACGAAACACCTCGTCGTCGGCCGCCGGTGGCGAAAGAGGTAGCAGGATGGCATGTTTATTGTTAATCGAATGGGGCGGAGTGGGAGTAGGACAATCTTCGCGAAACGTGCTAGGGATATTTAGTGCGGGTCCCCCCCTTTTGGTCTTGGGTAGTTCCCTAGACGAACATAGAATGTAAAAAAAAAGAGATGCATGCAAAAGTAAAATATAAAATATGCTTAATATATACACTAATTTCAATTGTTGTTTGTTTTGTTTTAGATGGATTGCGACGTGTGTGGTTGTTTTTGTGCGTGCGCGTTCTTTAGATCGTTCGTTCGTTCGTGGTGTTTATTTATTTTTTATTTACCTTATGTGACCCGAGTCTCCTGAACTGGACTGTCGACTGTGCGAATGCACGCTGCTGTAACCGGACGCCTTCGACATTTGGCTCGTGTTCGAGGAGTTCCGCGAATGGCCCTGCTCGCAGGAGAGCTCTTCGTGCTCGACGGCGGCGATGTTGTTGGTGGAAGCGGCTGCTGCGACGGCCGTGAATGACGGCAGCGATGTGGCATCCGCGCAGAAGTGGTCTGCATTCGCGGCGGCCGTCATCGTCGTCGTTGTGGTCGGTCCTCCGCCTTCTGCCAACGTGTGGCCTATCACTAAATCTGCAAACCGACAAATTAGTTAATCAATGACGACGGATAATGGAATGGTACCGGAGGAGAGAAGCGCGGATCGCTTCTTCGGGAGACTGCCGAAACCGGAACTGCCGCTCGCTATAGACCCAGCCGTAGAGCTGCTATTATTGTACTCGTCCGATGTTCCACCACCAGATGGTTCCAGCACGACGACCGCTGCATCCTCGGATGGTACAGATTTGTGCTTCAGCGAAGGCGACGGACTGAAAGCAAAATTAAATCAACATCAACATCATTTCAATATTATCGGCGTACTCACGCTTTGAATAGTATATCACCGGATAGCATGTTCATTTTGATCGAGAATCTGAGCATGCTATTGTCCGATCTGTGTCTGGTGTCGTAACCCTCGAGGAGGGCCTTTTTGCTCGTCTCCCCGGCGCCTGCGAACTCCGCCAGATTGAGGTCGACGAAGCCGAGCTTGGTGAAGGACCGACCGCCCTTGCACTCCTTCCGCACCGAAACTCTGAGGACGCAACGCTCCAAAATCCCCGTCGAGGCATTCGCCATCATCTTGCAGGGGAACGAATAGTGCGCATCCCATTTCACCACGTGATCCCTCACCTCTTGTCTGCAGAAACGGAAATCATGTCTTATTATATCTATATGATATGAGTATGAAGATAATGCAAATGTTGTTCTCGATCCGTCTGTCGAGCATGTATTCATCTACTATATAGATTAATCAATATATAGAGTGTATTGTACGCCTGTAGTGTATATTTGTGTTTTATTGCTCAAGCAAATCGGATTCGAAATTGAAGCCCTACGCGCTCTTTTATTCGTAACTGAAATACTATACTCATAGACGATTTATTTAATTAAAATTATCAATAAAAAAAAAACAATAAAGATAAAAAAAAAACAAAATTACGTTCAATAATTGATCGCAATTGAGCGGCAATGAAAAGTGCACTTGACCTTTGCACGTAACTCTAGATTTCGATTCGTACCTTGAAATAAAACAATGACAGTAACAACATCATCATTTAATATTCATCGGATCGAATTTCGCAATTATGATATGATGATGATTGAATTATAAAATTGCGTTCTATTGTAATTATGGATAAATCGTTCTTACCGGCTGCTGCAGTCCTGAAAGTTTCCGCCGTCGAGGAGTCGGAGTTTGGCGAAGAGCACTGCGGACACGAACGGCACCTCGAGGAGCTCGTCGAGCCGCACGTCCACCTGGAACTTGTACTTTTTCTTCTTGGTCATGAACGACGCCATGGCGGCGGCGCCGTGGCCGTTTGTCATATAGGCCAAGAGCACTGTTCAACGCATCGTCCGAACACACATTAATGTACTTTTTCTTGATTTCGATATGTTGCCGTTGCCGCCGCAGCCGCTTCCGACGATGCTTCCCACCACGTGTCTTCTTTCTATCTATCTATCTTTCGATGAAATGACTCGAACAGACTGAAACAAATAAAAAAAACAGCGAATTAATGGAAAAGCGTAGTGTTTGATTTGATTTAGAATACTTAATGTTTTACTCTGGAAAAGTAATAAAAGTATAGAAAGTAAGAGTAAGACGGCAACAGGCACCGACACCAAAATTAATTAGATTTCGAAGAGATAGAAAACGCAAGTGCATGGCGATGCACGAAAGCGTGACCGACAGACAATTCCGAACTAAAACTATTAAACTCTTCACCAGATTTACTAAGAATATTCGGTGATAGAAATAAAGAGGCTGATGGACAATACGGAAAGCCCTTATTCCTTTTCTCGGTTCGTTAAGTTCGCCTCCACGTTAATAAAAGTTGGTTCGTTTCAGCGGTTTATTTACACGCAGAGTAATGATGAAAGGGATGCGTGCCATTGAATAATAGAGTTGAATAATCCAAAAAACAACAACAACAAAAAAAAAACAAAACGATGGCCAAGGACTTGCTGATATATCAGATAAGCTGTGGATTGTTTGCGAGAGATAAAAGGTTGGCGATGATCGTTTCGATCCATCGATTTGAGATAGAAAGTGTTGATGATGAACGCGAAACGGAAGGAATTGATGATTATGATGATGATGATGATGATGGTTGTGTGAATGTGGGCCAAACAAAAGCAAACTGGAAATCGGATAGGAGGCGGTGGAGGAGGAGGCTCCAGTTTAAAATTAAACGTTCAGTTCCCCCTGGAATTCGCTAATAATTCATGCCAATTGGCAAACAACGGATGGTAATTGAGACCATCATCAACTACAACACCATCCATCCGATGGAGATACACTCTTGATCCCGCAAAAGCAAAAAACGATGAAATCAATTTCAACGAATCAACATATTAATCAATATAAACAATCGACAATTATTCAGCGATCGTTTGTTTTTTTTTTTTAAAAAAAAGGAAGCGAGTTGCATAATCTTCGATTGGAATTGACAAAGAAGAATCGAAGGGAGCTGTGCTCGCTCGCTCGCTTTTGGCCGACTTCCAGCTAAAACAAAAGATGGCAATATAAATAGCGAAAGTTCGTATAAATACGAAAATTCGTTTTGTAATAAACCGTACGAATTGTTATTGCCAGTGTCGTATTCGTGAGACGACGGCAAACAGATGCTGCTGCTGCTGCAGCCCCACTATCAATTGTAGCCGTTGCAAGAGATGATCTGTGGGTGGGGGAGAGGTTGCTTTGATTCGCATAAGAATAGCAAAAAAAAAACAAAAAACAAACAAAACAACAACGATGACAATCATCGCTCCCGCCTACCGCTTTTTTAAAAAAAAAAAAGGGTCGCGGGCGTAATGCACCACCGTTTCACCGATCAACATACAGAGATATTGCAAATGAATCGTATGGCATGAAACCCACCACCTTCAGCAACTCGCTGCGCTACTCACCAACTATCCAATTTGCGACTCGTCGTGTCTTCTGCAGCTGATGATGATGATCCAGCGGAGAAGATGAGATGCACACTGCGATATCCAATTAGACGACGACGACGATCATCGTCGGTGGCAGCAGAGGATCGTAGAGCACGGTGAGAGAGAGAGCGACTCCGACAAAACACCCGCAAACAACATAATCCGCTGACAACTGACAGGCTAAAAAATTTTTTGGTTAAGCTCTCGCACCAGTCGCTCCCTCTGCAGCGCGAACCGACGAACGCGATCCATCATCATCATCATCGAGTTTAAAGGTAGGCAACCAAACGTGCACGTTTGATCGAACGTGTGCGGAATTTATGAAATAAATGATGCGATTTTCAGCCGCTAGGTGGTGGCGTTTTTTTTAAATTTAAAACACTTCACGAACAAGGCAACAATAAAGAATTTCAATTGTATTTAATGAAAGTCCATAGGTGAAGAAAGTTCAATTAATTAATTGTAATCCTTTATTTATTCATTTACACGTATATAAATCGTTGTCTACATGGGTGATGGGAAAGAGGAGGAGGTGGCCATGGTGTGACAGCATTCTGAAGACCAAAAAACAATAATGATGATGATGTTTCCTTTCTCCGAACATTTATCAACAATTTCATTATACATTTGCATAATATTATTACATATTGAACGATATTGATTATGCTCGTTTCATTTTCACGCTCCAATCGCACTCATCTCGTTTCGGCTAGCTGCACGAACGCGCGCGCGTTTTTCATCAAATTACAACATCGAGTATGAATTATAAATGCCTTAAATCCTTTATATATCTACATGAAAGTCTGTCTTGTCTGTGTAGTGTAGATTATTTAATTATGTGCCTCCAATTGGTGGACACGCGATATTTCATCGCCGATGAACAACATTTCAACAACAAAAAGAGAAAATAAATCAACAACAACATCGCGAAAGCAAAAAAAACGACGAGATACAAAAATTCGCATCGTCTTTGCATCAATCCAATAAGTTACACCGTAATAATAATTATTATTATATACTTATATAATATTACAACAATCTGCGGTGGACCCAAAGAAGTCCCTGTGATATGTTTCTCATGTTTTGTTGTATGTTTGTATGTATGTTTGCGCAGAAAGAGGAAAACAAAAATGAGGTAAACGTATTTTCTTTTCGTTTGCTATTTAGATGTTGGTCGTTTAATAATAATAGTAATGATGATATAATCGTTAACTTAGTTTTCGGGTCCTGTTGAATATTCTTCGCGTAGCACGAGTAGAATTAATGTTTATATATGTGTGTGTGTGTATGTACGTGTCTTTATGTTTCCATTTGAAAATGTTGGTGTTGCGTTTATCATGATGAAGCATTGCTTCTTTTTCTGCTACTGATGCTGCCGCGTATCGATCCAAAAAAACATCAAGATCGATCCGCTCTCTCACACACACTCTAACTCTCTCGCTCGCTCTCTCATACATTACTCTCCGTTTGTTCGTTTTTTTTCTTTTTACTCGAATGTCTGCGATTCCTGCTGGACAAGCTTGAAACGTCTCGGACTCTTGACGGCCATCGATCCGTGCCCGTCCAGCGAAAACTTTCCCTTCATCTGCAGATGTCGTTTGATGTACTTGGCGACGAGCTTCTGCGGTCGCACCTGCCACTCGTTCAGCACCTCCTTCGGCGTGGACACTTGATCCCCGTTGAATCGATCGAGCAGCGCGACGCACACGATCGCCGCCTTGATGCCGGCGTGATGGGTCAACGCGGCGAACGGGACGCACTCCATCTCGATGTTCACGATGCCGAACTCCTTCAGGTGCTCCAGATACTTGAGCTTCTCGGTTTCCGTGTACTCGCAGAAAGCTCCATCCAATCGTCCCTGACCTGACACAAATACATTCGTTTACCTAACTAGTTAGTTTCAAGTGAGTGATGATGGATGACCTTCGTAAAAGTCGGAGGTGCACATCGTTTTTCCGGTCACCGTCTCGTACGGATCCTCGACGTCCGCCAACGCCTTCAGCTCTCTGATCACCTTCTTGTCGAGGATCGCCGGTCTGCTCGTCAGTTTTCCAAGCACGGGCTGCAATGTACAAACAACATTTTACATGTGACTCAGAAATTTACGCGATTAATGAAACGCGCACGTGTGCTTAAATCTTGCGACAAATGTTTCCTGCTTTGATTCAATAATAAATGAATCATAATAATCATCGTCAGTGATTAAGTCATTTATTTGCAAAGCACACAATTTGTTTAAAACTGTGCATATTTGCTGATGAATGAATAAAGTTTCGAGTTTTCTCAAGGCCGCTTCGAAGCGTTAGCTAACGGAACATTGGGGAATGTTTCGTGTTATTATTTATATATATATATAGAGAGAGAGAGTAATAATTGGAGTATATTGTAGTGCTCACCACTTCGTAGTAGTTGTTGAGGAGCGGATCGTAGGCGCCGTCGGAGATGACGACGGTGCCGCCGTCGACGCCGACTCCGCCGCACGTTCCGATTCTGATGAACACCGGGTCCTTGGCCTTCGCGTGGTACATCAGCTTGATCATCTCGTGCAGCAGGATGCTAATCGACGGAACACCCATGCCGTGCTGCAAACATAAACAAACAATTAACAGAGAAGATAAACGATATTACATGTACAAACTTACGCTGATCGAGAGGACAGGTCCCACTTTGTACATGCTGTACCTGTACGAGTACCGGCTGATGTCCTGGAGGGTCGTCCCCGTCGGCAACTTGTAACCAATCTCCTTCATGATGTAATCGGCAAAGTCCTGCATCCGTTTCGGTGTTCCGCCCATGCACACGAACTGTTCGACGAGCCAAAGCAACACAGAAATCGGTTATCATTCGACAGCAATAAGTGATGATTTATACCTTGACGTCGCCGAACATCTCGACGAGATCGTGCGATTCACTTCCCAACGCCAGATGGTACAGGATGTCCTGGTCCATCAGCTCGATGTTCGGGTTCCTCAGCTTCACGGTTCCATCTGGGTATCTGCGAAAAAAGAGAAACAATAGAGAAGTGTTTGGATCAAGTCAACATGTAGTTTGTAGGAATCCAATTTGATGCAGCAGCAGCAGTTAACAAAACACGCTTTGATCTGTACACAATTACCGGGTCTCGTCCTCGTCGTTATTGTGGTTCTGATCCGTCCTCATCATCTCGTTACGTTCGAACCTCGGATCAGTCATTCCGATGATTGTGACTGCGAAATGCACACTGCGCTGCTGTTCACAAATCGATCCCCATTATATATACACACACACACACATGTTACGTTCCCGTATATTATCAACCAACAACTAGTTTTGATAATATTCGCTCATTCTCGCAACCACCAACCAAAGTTTTCTTTGATTCCTACTAACCAAATCCCTTTACTGGCATTGTTATTATTGAATTGATTTAAACGAGACAAGTTTAACGTGCAAGTATGAAACGAAGCAAATATCGCACCCTTCCTCTTATCGAGAACGTAAACTCACAAAAGTCGTCTCCCAAAAACCCATCCCAGATGAAATTTACTTATTTATTTTCGGTGTGTGTGCGAGCGTTCGTATTCACGGCAGCATCCAAAACCAGATTTCTAAAGTAAGGTCAAGGTTTGTAAACGGTATTAACGAACATTTTACCAGTTTTCTTTCATTACTTTCTTCTTCCGCATCGCCGGGACACGATTGTGCGGGCGCGCGAAAAAGAAGAAAAAAAAAAGTTCCGTTTCTTTTCATTATTTCAAATGCGCATCCAAAAGAAAAATCAGCGAAACGAGACAAAGTTAACAGTAATTGCAATTTGCCACTTCGTGGATCGGGCGTGTCCCTTCTCCTCTCATTCCACAGATTCAAACACTTTACATACAAATTTTTTTTGTTGTTCTCTCTATACATTTATTTTCCGTTCGATGCGAAATTGCGGTAAACAAAATACTCGAAACAGTCATTATCATTTTATCATACAATTAATGAGATTACTAATTCGATTATGCAGTTTTATTTCGATTTCGAAATGTAAATAAAGGTGAGTGAATGTGTAGAAGGAGGAGGAAGAAAGGCGAGACGAATCGTTGAATCGAATCGATTTGTTTCCAAAGTTGCAGTTCGATGCAAGGCCAAGCCCCCCTTTCAATTTCCTCTCTTTGTCGCGACTTCCGCTTTACGAACTTGGCGAAATATTTATCGATTTTAGCAACAGATTTTGTTTTCTCTCTTAATTAGATGCAGACGTCGCAACAATTGGAGAGTATTTTTCATTTTTTGAGCATGCGAGCAATATCGATTCGAGAGCGAATGCAAGTTAGTTAATGAGGGAAAAATGAAATTATTAGTAATAAGGAGAATGTGCATAACTTACTCGTCCCTTTCTTCATCTGAGAGCGACATTATAGGTGGAATTTTGAGCAGTCTTCTTCTGGAATCCGATTCAACAAGAAAAGAAGCGGCGGCAGCAACTGATACTCCTCGCGTCTCTCGCACCTTTCAAAGTGCGATGATGTTGCGACAGCGACGATTCTAGGACACGACCGACTTTTTCCTTCTGCTCGCTCCACACTTTATTCTCCAACGGGTGGATGAAGATGTTGTAGCGCAGATGTAAGGGAAGGGTGCGTCGCGTGTTTTAGTACGCGGATCGACCGCTCGGAAATGCGCGTTCACCGAATTCGGGAAGAAAATAAGGGCGGCGGCGGCGTCGATGTTGTGCGTTTACGTACGGATCGACGCAAACACCAGCTCCAAGTGAAGATTCGATTCATCTGAAACACAAATTTCATTTAATTTCACTATAAAATGCGAATCTACACACACACTTTCTTTCTTTCTTTATTTTCGTGCAGGAAACGGACGATGCAGTGAAAAGTTTATAATCGCGCTCGACCCTAATATTTCTATTTGCGTTTAGCGTTATCTTTTAACACATATAAAAGTACATTTAAGTAATAAACCCACAATATTTCTCGCATGTTACAAAAAATATATGTAACTAATGCAATCGCAAAAAGAGTAAACAGCGATAATGATAAATTAATCAATTATTGGAAATAATGTGCGAATCATTGAGGATATCGATTACCGAATTCAAAAATGCGTCCGACTTGAACTATAGAACAATTACCTGAATCCGGTTGATATTCGGCGCACGCTGCACCGTCTATTAAAGACTTAACACCTAACAGTAGTTTCGTTGCAAATAGTGGGTAGACTGTAATGCAGCGAATCGAAGACTTCCGTCAGCGTAAAGAGGAACGAATCCGATGGTGACCTTACGATCAATTAATTAAAACGAACAATCGAAACGCCAATCATGCATGATCCCGATATATATAAGAGTTTACAGACGACGAATGCAAGGAATCACTTAACAACTACACTCGAAACAAGATGTTGCTTTTGGTTGTTACGATTCTGTGCTTCGTTTCTTCGATGGCCGTCGAACCGTCGTACAAGTTCCATCGTTACGAGACGGAGGACGTGATGAAGACTGCAGAATCGGTGGTGCCGGAGCACGGGTATCGAGTGTTCGAGAGGGTAGGTGGTGGAGGATATTATCCGAGATACACGGACACCGCCAGCTTCAATTATCCATCCGGAGGATACTTTTTCCATCCGGCGCCTCAGCTGCGGCACGGTTTCAGGGGAGACGGTGAAGAGTACGTGGATAAGAGGAGGACGTTCGTGGACGGTGGCCAGAAGAAGGCGAGCGACGCTTCCTTCGAGAAAGCTTCAGGATCGAAGCACGAGGAGAGGAATCACGGCAAGGAGGGATACAAACACGGGAAGGTGGAAGAGCAGGATTTCAAAGGGGACAAGTCGTATTACAGCGACGAGGAGGGTGGTCGAAAACTAGTCGAGGATGGAAAGAGCTACGCCGGCGGAGAGCACTTCGATAAGGAAGGTTAGCGTTCGTTATCGCTGTTGTCACTATGTTCTTATCTATTTGTTAATGATTGGTAGGTAAATCGGGGGATGAGACGAAGAGGAGTAAAGGACACAAGAAGGGACACGTCATCAAGGGCTTCAAGACGTCGCATCACAAGGACGAGTCGGGAAAGACGGAGGAGTTCTACGACGAGGAGCACGACGAAGGCGACGACGTGCGATTCAAGGGAGAGGCCGGAAGCTTCGGCGAGAAGGCGAAATCGACGTTCGAGGGTGGTCACGACGATTCGCGATTCAACGCCGAGAAGAGGAAGCAGGAGGGACACTTCGGATCCGAGCGAAAAGTCGACAGCAACGACCTGAAGCGCGGTCGCTACGACGAGAAGAAATCCCTGGACGAGGGACGTTCGTACGTGCTGAACAGCGGCATCGACGAGCACTCGCTGCTCGGCCACCAAGAGAACAGCAAATACTACAAAAACCATCCGTACCACGTGCCCTTCTACAACCCGAACTAAACACATTCAACATAATTATATTCTCACAGCGTATTTATTAGAAATTGTACTGGTAATTTTTCATTTATCGACAAATATAACATTGAGAACGAGAAGCAGCAGCAACAACGATGACACAAAGAAAACCTAGTGTTCTTCACGCGCACGGAAGAATACAGCTATTGCTTCTTCCATTCAATATACTCGTACTAACTAATATATAAATATACATGAATTTGTTTCTTAATTAAATTTCTTTCCATCAACAATTAGTTTGGTCCTAAACATTAAATCCTAAACAACGTAAACGAAAATCAGTCAAAATCGATCAGATAATATTATCATTACGCCTAACTGCAATTTACCAAAAAAATCTGGCATCAAAGCATCATATTTCACAGCAAAGATATAAAATGGAAACCGCGCGATGGAAGAATTGAGAAAGTAAATCATTAAAATTAACATACGATTTTTGTTCGAGTTTTCTTAACAGCCTTGCTTTTACCACTAGTCCACTCCTCCCCCCGCCATTCTCTTCCTCCTCTCAGCTGCAACTCTACACAAAGGAATGAATTTAAATTATGCAATGTGCACTTTATCCTATTATCATCATCATGATGATCATCATCATCATCACACCAACAACAACAACTCGTCATCTACATTTAGCTAATATAGATGAATGATGCGTGCGCTTGATCAGACAATACAAGTCTTTTTGTTTTATAGTACGGAAATAAAAATGTGGTAAATAAATAAAGTTACAAAAGAAAAAAAATAATTAAATAAAATGATGAAGGTAGATTCCGTTCTCCTTTGGTATATGGCGATCATCGTCGAGGAAGCAAAAAAAAAAAGTTCGAATTCAACTTTTAGAAATCGATGATGAAGACTAGAGGGGAATAATAGTAATAATTAAAAAAAAAAAAAACTGTTGGAGATTCAGTAGGTGAAATTGCTCCGTGGAAAAATCGCGGTGGCGGCCAACTTTTCCTCTGGATCGTACTGGTTGCGATAGTGTCGAGTAAGAAACACGCCCACGATCTAAAAAAAAATAATACAAATTTAAGAATAAGACGCAAATTGTTAAATTGGCGATGGAATAAAACAATGTAAGCAAATGATATCTACTATGAACAACTAATTAACTGACGATGAACTAGAATGAGATGCGCATGCATACGATTAATTACGGATTAGCGAGTAGACCCACCCCTGGGCGCGTTAATCACGAGGTGTTAGGAGATTTTTGTTTGGTTTTTAGTTGATGTGCGAATGGGATTAGAGGAAGGCGCTGGGATTCGCCCTCGGATCTTTCTGGTTGCGGTAACGGACCGTCAACCAAACCCCCAAGAACTGTAAAAAAAAATATAGAAACCAACACAAAAACGAAGCAGTATTAGTATCATCGAATAATAATAATCCGATGCAAAGACCACCACCACCACCACCAAATCAATTAATTGAACGAGACGAAAACGTTACCTCTGTAAAACTGAAGAAGAGTCCGATCCAACCGCACAATTTGAACGCGTAGTTTATCGTGTTCTGCAATTTGCTCATGCACGTTGGACACATGCAGTCAACGACCACGAGATTCGGACAGCATTTCGGCTGCAACACAGATTAATGCGTAATCAATTTCATTAGAGACTTTTTAATTATGTATGTAAACTACCAGAATTGCAGCGCACGAGGGATGACCCATCTTGCTATCATTCGGCATGGTGTCGTTGAATCCGCAGCACGTAAACACTTCTTGCACCTCCATTCTGACGTCGTCGTCCACCTGCTTCCATCCCTACAAACAAAACGTTTTCAGCGTAAATAACGCAGCAACAATTTCTCATTCTTACCTGTTCAGCCCATTGCTCCTGTTGTTCCATGTTCACGCCGAGGCATGCACAGGCCACCGAGAATTGAATGAGGAAAAGCAAGAACAAAATGACCATGTACTAAATCTCATGTTAAGGAAAACGTTGATCATACGCAAAACTGTGTTGTTTATAAAAAAAAAAGGATACAAAAAAGAGCATCACTTGATGATGTTTGACAGCTCCGACCAATCCAAGCAGAGAAATCATCACAAGTATTATGCCGCATGCTAGAATACCACTGATTATAGGTAGATTGGTAACGATTGATGCAGCTCTTCCGTACACTGCCACACTAATTAGTATGGAGGCGACAACCTGTAATGTGAAAAAATGCAATTTTCAGTTCATTTTCAATTGAAACAAAGGTTCTTAAACAATTAAGAACAATTGAACAAGTGACAGGAAAGGAGATCTTATTGGAAGGAAGGAAGGTCAATGAATAATAATGATAGAAAAAATCCTCTTACTATGTACAGAACGTTCAGAGCGACGAGCGCATTCTTCGAGCACGTGAAACCGCCGCACATGTTTGCTGTTCTTCGTTAATTTCTTATGTAAAAATGATCTTTTAACTTGCTTGCGGCCCCTCAAACAGCTTGGTTCATCATCAATCAATCAACAAATTGTTGCGGTACACACTTTGACATTCATGTAGCACCACAGTAAACGCAAATATCCCCAGAAATCATTCTCGAGAATCTACCGGCAGATGGCGCCGCCGCCGTTCAACAACTTTCAAACTATTGCGAGAGAATTAAAAATCGAGTTTTAGGTCAAAATTAGTTTATTTTATTAACAAAAAAATACAATTATCACAAATTACTTTTTGCTCTTGAATGTCTTCTTCGTTACCAAATTACTGTCGTTCATCATAGCAGCAATTTTATCTTTCGATAATGCTTTCTTTACGGGCAACACTTTATCCTTCTTCTTCATGGTCGTCCTCAATGCAGGTTTCTTTATCGCCAGAGCCTCCTTCTTTTTCTTCTGCATTTTAGGCGCTTCTTTGACGGGAACTTTAACTTCCTTTTTGGGTGAAGATTTCACCTCCAACTGCTTCTTCGCCTTTGCAACTTTCTCTTTCTTGGGAGAAGCCTTCGTTACTGCTGCTGGTTTCTTTACCTTCTCAGCTTTGTCCTTTTTAAGCAAAGTCTTCTTTGCCACTTTAACATCAACTGTTATTTTCTTGTTTTCCACCGCCTTCTTTGGAGCAACAGCAACAACTTTCTTTCCTTCACCTTTTGCTGTCGGTTTCACCTTTTGTGTTGGTTTCTTTTTTGCTTCAATGTTAGCTGCAACTGCAACTTTTTTAACATTCACCTTAGGCTTCGTCTTCAGCTCTTCCACATCAGCTTTCACTACTTTAGCAGCAGTTTTCTTTGTGACATTCTTTTTAACTGTTTTCTTTACGTTTAAGGCCTCCTTGAGTTCTTTGGGCACATTGACAGGCTTGACTGTGTGCTTGATTCCGAGAGCTGCCAGCTTCTTGATTTTCTTGTTGAGTTGACCCAACTGCCTCCTCGAGTTTTTCATATACTTTTCTTCTGATTGTGGCTCATTTTTTAGCTTTGCGATTTCCTGCACTTTGCTGATGTACGGAGTAGAATTCTCCGCCCACAGGCGACCGCCAAACTTCAGCTTCCTGCATTTCTCTTGCGGCAACACTTTAACTACCAACCTTTTGTCAAACATCAAATAGTTGTCCATGGTTTCCGCCGCAATCTTGGCGACGTCCATGAAAAGGAACTCAACGTATGCATAGGACCTGGGTCTGCCGGACCTCTTCGCTCTGGGCACAGTGACTTTGGTAACTTTGCCGAACTGTCCGAAGTACTCGCGCAGCTCTTTCTCGTAGAAGCCATGGGGAAGGTGTCCAATGTATATTATCGCTCTCTCCTTCGAGGAGCCCTCTTCCGCCACCTTCACATCGCCATCCTGCAATCAAATGTAAGACGTAAATACCACATTTTTGCAGGTTATGTTTACCAGGACTCACCTTGACTTGCTCCTTGAGGAGTTTTATCTTCGAAGCGAACTTGGTTTGCTCTTTCTTCTCCAAAGCCAGAGACTCGTCGACCTTCTTCATTTTAACTGTTTTTATCTTAAATACTTTAACCAAACACTAAACCAACAACCAAACTAAATCCACGTGTTTACCAATGCACCAATTATTTGAAAATCAGCTTTGCCAACATTACAATCCAAAACAATTACCAACCAACGAGAATGAATTATATGCAGGAGGGCGCCATCTACCCGAAACCATGTTAAAATTTAAAAATTTGAAATAATTATGTAAATGAATGTTGTGCTCTTTTTGTAAGAAGTAATTTTATTAAAACTCTAAACTCTATTATAAAAAATATACGCGTTTTTTTTTATCTATAGCAATTATACAATTAGTTTAAACATGATTAATGTACATTATGTTGTTATTTCTTGGCGGGCGTCGATTTTTCTCCGGATTTGGTTCTCTTCCATTTCATTCTGCGATTCTGAAACCAGACTTTGACCTGAAACACACACACACAAGCACATATTATATTCGATTATCAAACTGTTTATTATCGATGTGTGTGTACCTGTCTTTCGGTGAGGTCCAAGGCAACTGCGATCTCGTACCTCCGGAGTCTGGTCAAGTAGTTGGAGTGTCCGAATTCGTTCTCCAGCTCGCGGATCTGGTTCTTGGTGAAGGCCGTGCGCTCTTTCCTCGGTTTTCCTCCTGGTTCCGACGCATTCGCATTTTGATGCTGCTGCTGCTGCTCATGATGATGATGATGATGACTATGTTCTTGTTGTTGTTGCTGTCGCCTTCTTCGCTCATCCCAATCGTTGTTTCGTGCCGCTGAAAACGCAACGTCCGAGATGATTTTTTTTTGCCCTCATTCTCTTTCGGTAAAAACGCGGAGACATCAAAAGACGTTTTCCGCCGAATCGAAACTTCGCGTGCACTTGAAACAGATTCAATTTTGCGCAATTTCCTTGCCATTGAAACGACTTGTGATTCATACATTCGTCCATCCGCCCGTCCATCCTTCATCACTAATTCTGTTTGCTTTGCTTTGCTGCTGCAAGTGGGTAGGATTTCATCCGACTATAAATTAGTGCCAATATTTTGGATGGGACCACACACGCTCTCATTCAAACAAGATGAACAGATAGATGGGCGTGTTATTTCTTCATCTCTCTCTGTCCTTCTTAAAAAACGCAAATTGATGTCCTTTTAATCCTTCGCTAATACCGGACCCAACCCCCCTGTCCGATACGGATGACGAGGATATGCAATTGGACTCGGGAGGAGACAAATTGGCTTCCGAGAGGAATCCTCTTCGCACGACCGAAGCAAGCAACATGTGCCAGATGTTCCTTCTTCGATACTTGACAAATACCTTACAAGTGGAACAACAAACACGCTCGCATCCAAAGTATCCAATTTCCCCATTCAATTCATTCATTCATTCAACTCAATCGCAGTTTGGGAATTCCGCAAATTTCCGAAAAAAAGTTACGCTACATCGGACATTCGTTAAATCACATCAACATTTCGAATGTTTTCGAAGTTACTATAGCAACTGTAAATGAATATTGCTTAATATTTAAATTCAGTTCATCAACATTTCGAATGTTTTTGCAAGTTACTAGAGCAACTGTAAATGAATATTGCTTAATATTAAAATTCAGTTCATCAACATTTCGAATGTTTTTGAAGTTACTATAGCAACTGTTAATATAGGAACTGTTCAGTTCCCGAAATGGCGCTGATCTCGAAACAAAAGAAACGTTAATTCATAGGAAATTGGTCAACTTGATTAATCAAGTTTTATTATATTGATTAATTACAATTAAATTCGATCAGATGTAGTTTGCGTTCGTATTTGTAAACTTACGCAAAATTTCGGTGTCATCCGGAACGTTCGAGTTGTGATCGAAGTAGTTTCTGAATACGGCAGGATCGCAGTATCGTGCGACAGCATCGCCGTCGTCGCTTCCACCGCCAATAACAGCGGAAGCAGAAGGTTCTTCTCGCAGCTTATCGAATGCGAACGTTGTCGTCGTTGGACAGATGATGCGATCGAATCCGTGGCAGACGTCTGTGGAGGCGGCGACGACGTCGTTCGTTTCGTACGGTGGCGTCTGGTAGATGATGGGCTGCTGGAAATGGTAGATCGGATGATGGAAGTACTCCGGTACTTCCAATTTGATTGAATTGGCGAAATGCATTTCGAACGGGCACCGATCCACGACTACCGGACCGGACGAATGCGGTGCGACGGGTCGAGCAGGCCTCGAAACGCCGACAGCCAATCCCCGATCGCCGTCGATCGACGGGGGGGCGTGGCCAGAACACACCTCCCCCAATAAAAAAAATAGGAACGTTCAACTCCCATCCAACACCAATCATTAACCAATAATAAATTACATTTCGTTCAACCTATAAACTCAATAATCTTACAAATTTATTTAACTCATTTTAAATGAGCAAATAAAAAACTGTCTTGAATATTAATTTGAAATCAATTAATATAATTAGTAAACTTGATTGTATACATATAATGCAATACACTAAACTCGATTTATTGAAGAAATTCAAATGGAAACGCGCACATTCTTATTATAGTAAAATACTAATTGAAACTAAAAAGTATCGCAGATGCATTTCTGATCTATTTCAATCTATTAATAGATGAAGAATTCGAATTAAACTTCAGTATAGAACTGCTCAAACAGTCTATGTATAATTAATACAAATCGAATTTCTTAATTTTAGTGATTTTTCTTATTAAAATTGATTTTATTTATAGAATGTAAGCTATTGCAATTAGCGTAGTTTGCATTGATTTAGTTTCGTTACAACTTTTGTGCGAATGCACGCGAATCTTTGATGGGGGGATGCGAAATTGGAAAAAAACAAAAAAGTATCGGATTTCAAGGGTGGTGCCACGCAGTCTCGATACTTTTTTTGGAAAAATATCCGTTTCACGTGATGCTTTTTCCACTGCGAGATTCTTTCACTGTTTGTGTGAACGCGAGTGTACATATCTTTTTTTTGCTTTTGCTTTCTTTCTCGTTTGTTACTAATGTTTGTTGAAACATCGCCGCCCACGTTGGATGCGCGAGGACGAATCATGAATTATTTAAAAAAAAAAAAAATGGTTTTTAATAGGAGATCGAGCGGCGCTGGAAAAACGATTAAGTCGAGGAAACGAAATAAATTGTAAAGTGTAAAAAGTGATTTGAATAAAAATGTCTTCACATGGTTACTAATGCTGTGACGTATGAAACGAGAACAAAAAGAGAGAGATAATGGGTTGATGTGAAAAGAAAGAGTTAATGAGGAGAGAGAGAGGGTGACTATATATGTATAACAAGCTGCGTCGTGTCTCTTTGGTTTTTCTTGGATGATTGGCGGACGGACGGACGGAAACAGCAAAGTTATTTTCGTGTTCCCGTTAATTAGTGCACTAATTTTCGGTTTCGTTGTCGTCGTCTCATCCCCGCCGACGACGTTCGGATGACGAATGCGGTGCGGTGTTTAAGCGATCATCGATGTTGGTGGTTGTTTTGTAAACAGGGCAATTTCCTTTTCGTGTTTGCCCGTTGCCGACAACCGTATATGCGTAAGGGTTGACTCGACGTGGGAAAGGTGGCCTAAATTACGACGATTCTTATTATGGGGGGGTTGCTTTTTCTGCTTCTTATTTTCCTTTTTTTCGATGTTGATCAAACTTTCAATTCTCGTTTGCACCGGATTCCACGGAACGCATAAATCTGTTGGTGGCTTTGTTGTTGCTTTGCGGAGCCAACAACAGAATGCGCGCATAAATCCGTCATTGCGGGCCGCTGTTTGTTCAGGACCATCTTCGATTCGACCTGCTTGCTGCTCACGCTTTTCGGGAACCGAACCGAAACGCGAAATTCCCCACTTCCTCTTAACGAAACCCGAATCCAAACGTACTCTCGAATAGAAGACTCGCATTTTTAATAAAATACAAAGTTTTTCAATTTCTATATACAGTAGAACCTGATCCAAAATTTCCGAATTTTTTACTCGTATAGTGAAGCATATGCAAAAATACACGTAATACGTGTACACAAGATTTAAAAATGATGTAGAAGGCGCGCAATTCGGGACTTCTCTTCTCATCGTCGCTCGTTAAGCGAGTCATTTTGCTCGTTATGCAAGGTTTATGAAATTGTATTAACATATTTGCTTCACAGATGTCAGCACCAGTTTTTTTTTTCTTAAATTCATAGTTTTTGATTGTAAAAATACACAACAAAGTCTAAATTTATAAAACAGATTGCTTCATTAATAATTATCTATAACTTGGCAATAAAATGGAATGTAGGCAGGGTATTTGCATTTGTTATTAAAACTATTTTTGTTCTTAATTTTGATCATTTTTATTATTGAATCTTCGTTTTAGACGTCAGTATAGAACTGCTCAAATAGTCTATGTATAATTAATCGCATTTCTTTATTTTAGTGATTTTTCTTATTAACATTGATTTTACTTATAGAATGTAAGTAGAGATTGACTAAAGCTGTTGCAATTAGCGTAGTTTGCATTCATTTAGTTTCGTTACAACTTTTGTGCGAATGCATGCGAATTTTTAAAAAACAAAAAAGTATCGGATTTCAAGGGTGGTGCCACGCAGTCTCGATGCTTTTTTTGGAAAAATAACCGTTTCACGTGATGCTTTAAAAGCATATGCAAAATTACACATAATACGTGTACACAAGATTTAAAAATGATGTAGAAGGCGCGCAATTCGGGACTTCTCTTCTCATCGTCGCTCGTTAAGCGAGTCATTTTGCTCGTTATACAAGGTTTATGAAATTGTATTAACATA